GTTTCGTGCTACTTGGCACTCGTCAGCAAGGTGTACCTGTAATCTTGAGGGAACTGGTGCTCCCTGGCGGATTCGATCTCGTGTCACCCAGCTTCACAGTCACAGACGTTACCACTGAGCTATCCGAGCCGTGACTAACCTCCTGTAGGACTGAGATGTAATCACAATTGATTGATCACTGGGTGGTGATCAATCTCATGCTTGTCTAGTCCTTATTAGTGCAGATCGAATGCTATCGATCATGTTGCAATGTGGCCACCAGTCTAGGTGACTCGACACTGCGGGCACTATGTATTGAGATTTAGATGGTGGTTGGAGGTAGTCAACAGGAAACCCTGGACCCGGGTTTCGTGCTACTTGGCACTCGTCAGCAAGGTGTACCTGTAATCTTGAGGGAACTGGTGCTCCCTGGCGGATTCGATCTCGTGTCACCCAGCTTCACAGTCACAGACGTTACCACTGAGCTATCCGAGCCGTGACTAACCTCCTGTAGGACTGAGATGTAATCACAATTGATTGATCACTGGGTGGTGATCAATCTCATGCTTGTCTAGTCCTTATTAGTGCAGATCGAATGCTATCGATCATGTTGCAATGTGGCCACCAGTCTAGGTGACTCGACACTGCGGGCACTATGTATTGAGATTTAGATGGTGGTTGGAGGTAGTCAACAGGAAACCCTGGACCCGGGTTTCGTGCTACTTGGCACTCGTCAGCAAGGTGTACCTGTAATCTTGAGGGAACTGGTGCTCCCTGGCGGATTCGATCTCGTGTCACCCAGCTTCACAGTCACAGACGTTACCACTGAGCTATCCGAGCCGTGACTAACCTCCTGTAGGACTGAGATGTAATCACAATTGATTGATCACTGGGTGGTGATCAATCTCATGCTTGTCTAGTCCTTATTAGTGCAGATCGAATGCTATCGATCATGTTGCAATGTGGCCACCAGTCTAGGTGACTCGACACTGCGGGCACTATGTATTGAGATTTAGATGGTGGTTGGAGGTAGTCAACAGGAAACCCTGGACCCGGGTTTCGTGCTACTTGGCACTCGTCAGCAAGGTGTACCTGTAATCTTGAGGGAACTGGTGCTCCCTGGCGGATTCGATCTCGTGTCACCCAGCTTCACAGTCACAGACGTTACCACTGAGCTATCCGAGCCGTGACTAACCTCCTGTAGGACTGAGATGTAATCACAATTGATTGATCACTGGGTGGTGATCAATCTCATGCTTGTCTAGTCCTTATTAGTGCAGATCGAATGCTATCGATCATGTTGCAATGTGGCCACCAGTCTAGGTGACTCGACACTGCGGGCACTATGTATTGAGATTTAGATGGTGGTTGGAGGTAGTCAACAGGAAACCCTGGACCCGGGTTTCGTGCTACTTGGCACTCGTCAGCAAGGTGTACCTGTAATCTTGAGGGAACTGGTGCTCCCTGGCGGATTCGATCTCGTGTCACCCAGCTTCACAGTCACAGACGTTACCACTGAGCTATCCGAGCCGTGACTAACCTCCTGTAGGACTGAGATGTAATCACAATTGATTGATCACTGGGTGGTGATCAATCTCATGCTTGTCTAGTCCTTATTAGTGCAGATCGAATGCTATCGATCATGTTGCAATGTGGCCACCAGTCTAGGTGACTCGACACTGCGGGCACTATGTATTGAGATTTAGATGGTGGTTGGAGGTAGTCAACAGGAAACCCTGGACCCGGGTTTCGTGCTACTTGGCACTCGTCAGCAAGGTGTACCTGTAATCTTGAGGGAACTGGTGCTCCCTGGCGGATTCGATCTCGTGTCACCCAGCTTCACAGTCACAGACGTTACCACTGAGCTATCCGAGCCGTGACTAACCTCCTGTAGGACTGAGATGTAATCACAATTGATTGATCACTGGGTGGTGATCAATCTCATGCTTGTCTAGTCCTTATTAGTGCAGATCGAATGCTATCGATCATGTTGCAATGTGGCCACCAGTCTAGGTGACTCGACACTGCGGGCACTATGTATTGAGATTTAGATGGTGGTTGGAGGTAGTCAACAGGAAACCCTGGACCCGGGTTTCGTGCTACTTGGCACTCGTCAGCAAGGTGTACCTGTAATCTTGAGGGAACTGGTGCTCCCTGGCGGATTCGATCTCGTGTCACCCAGCTTCACAGTCACAGACGTTACCACTGAGCTATCCGAGCCGTGACTAACCTCCTGTAGGACTGAGATGTAATCACAATTGATTGATCACTGGGTGGTGATCAATCTCATGCTTGTCTAGTCCTTATTAGTGCAGATCGAATGCTATCGATCATGTTGCAATGTGGCCACCAGTCTAGGTGACTCGACACTGCGGGCACTATGTATTGAGATTTAGATGGTGGTTGGAGGTAGTCAACAGGAAACCCTGGACCCGGGTTTCGTGCTACTTGGCACTCGTCAGCAAGGTGTACCTGTAATCTTGAGGGAACTGGTGCTCCCTGGCGGATTCGATCTCGTGTCACCCAGCTTCACAGTCACAGACGTTACCACTGAGCTATCCGAGCCGTGACTAACCTCCTGTAGGACTGAGATGTAATCACAATTGATTGATCACTGGGTGGTGATCAATCTCATGCTTGTCTAGTCCTTATTAGTGCAGATCGAATGCTATCGATCATGTTGCAATGTGGCCACCAGTCTAGGTGACTCGACACTGCGGGCACTATGTATTGAGATTTAGATGGTGGTTGGAGGTAGTCAACAGGAAACCCTGGACCCGGGTTTCGTGCTACTTGGCACTCGTCAGCAAGGTGTACCTGTAATCTTGAGGGAACTGGTGCTCCCTGGCGGATTCGATCTCGTGTCACCCAGCTTCACAGTCACAGACGTTACCACTGAGCTATCCGAGCCGTGACTAACCTCCTGTAGGACTGAGATGTAATCACAATTGATTGATCACTGGGTGGTGATCAATCTCATGCTTGTCTAGTCCTTATTAGTGCAGATCGAATGCTATCGATCATGTTGCAATGTGGCCACCAGTCTAGGTGACTCGACACTGCGGGCACTATGTATTGAGATTTAGATGGTGGTTGGAGGTAGTCAACAGGAAACCCTGGACCCGGGTTTCGTGCTACTTGGCACTCGTCAGCAAGGTGTACCTGTAATCTTGATGAGATTGATCACCACCCAGTGATCAATCAATTGTGATTACATCTCAGTCCTACAGGAGGTTAGTCACGGCTCGGATAGCTCAGTGGTAACGTCTGTGACTGTGAAGCTGGGTGACACGAGATCGAATCCGCCAGGGAGCACCAGTTCCCTCAAGATTACAGGTACACCTCGCTGACGAGTGCCAAGTAGCACGAAACCCGGGTCCAGGGTTTCCTGTTGACTACCTCCAACCACCATCTACCTCTTATATCCCCATGATTTTACTTATAATTTTTCCAACATCACTTCACTTCACTTAACCCCTGTCTATTGTATTGTTATATCCCGATGCGAACAATGATGTGGTAACTTTTGAAATACAATCATTTATCATTACTATAAGTATATTTTTATTGTATAATTGTTATGTAACTAAACTGTTCATATTCATGTCCCTCTTATTATGAGTTTTATATTGACCTATGAACTATTATTATACGATTTACCATTCTTGAGTTATACAAAGTCTACTAATCACTACCTCCCACATTCACAACTGCTTTTCGCTAAATCTTGTACAAATATTGTTTCCTATTTTATGGTACGATGTGGTCTGTTTGGTTGGTAATATAAACCCCGTATGCTTGAAATAAACGATTCATATTGCAGAGGCTGAGATTAGTGTTCTGGACTTCACTGGCTGGGCTAGACAGGAAGCGAGACCAATAAGGACTCTAGGCTGCTCGCACGTGTTTTTTGCGTCACTGGTTCGACCGATAATTCGTTGCTCTCTAATTGGCTGTATCATCACATTATACATTAACAGGTCATATAGGCCACAAGTTATAACATATCTTTAACAGTATTTTAATTATTTCACTTTATTCACACTAGAATTCAATAATTAATTTTACACTCTTATTAATTGCACATGCCTTGTAGAAATTATACACCAGTATATAATCTAGTGTTATAATCCATTTATAAAATAATCATGTTCATTCTTTCTTTATGTCTTTACAGAATTAATACATATTAATATATGATTGTACAGTTTGATAATAAATTAGTTGGAAAAAGGTCCTTTCGTTGAATTTCATGGTTTTTTTTTATTTAACTGGTAACAATAAATCTTTTCATAATTGAAATCACAAGTCAATCTAAACTAGATTACCATTGAAAACCTAGAAGCATTGGATAGCCTCTTTGTCCACTATTGAAAACCAATATATTGGTTTAACTTAAATAGACTCGTGCTTCCAACTGGGAAAACACTACAATCTCAACAAATAACTCATACTGATAACTATAAGCCCCAAATGCCCAGGTACGGCCGAGGTGGGGAAAGTCAGTCACCCCCCTCTCTCTCTCCAAATGCTCTCACATGGCCACGTGCATACAACCACTCACAGGGAAGTCCTACTCACTGCCTTCTCTCAGCGGGGGTGTTGTTTAAAAAATTGAGAAGACGAAAAGCAAATTTCCGGTGCTTTAACTGGGTTGGTGGACATGGAGAGTTCACCTAGGGGAGTTGGAAAACACTGATTCTAAATCAATGGTGCATATGGGCTGACTCTAGGATCCTCAAGGAACAAATAGAGTATGAACCAATCGTTGGTTACCGGTCAACATGGAACTGCATCTCCTTACCTTGTTCCACTGCCTTGTGGATCAGACCATTAGGTCGAAGGCTTCGGATGTGGCCCCACAAGAGAACCACCTGAATCGGTTTGGGCACCCGGGCAATATAACAGTCCACACACCAATCAAGTGACGTGTGTGACGCATATGTATTCGATGCTCCTTTGTACCAATGTTTGCGTTTAAATAAATAAATAATCCATAAACAAACAAAATAACTGACTTATAACAATAAATATATTTCAGAAATTCAAACATATTTGAAATATAGAATATAAATTTCATTATTACAAATACACGGAAAGAAAGATAACTTAAACTAGTCATTAAAAATGAAACTAGGGCTTTTAAGTACAATGGATAAATATACAAAGTATGGAGGGTAAAGATGGTTAACAGTTTAAATGAATAATCAGTTTTCAATATTATTTGATTCAGATGAATTTGTTGAAGAAGGAATCTGCATTTCACCAACATGTTTCACAATGTCATTTTCAGTTTTATCGACCGTACTGCTATTATTAATAATACTATCATTGTTATCCGGTTTTAAATGTTCAGACTTTTCGGAAATATCAACTTTTTCCGCAACAAAGGATTCTATTTTAGTTGGAATGGCGTTAACTGGACATAGTCCTGAAGGTTCACTTTCAATCATAGATACTTTGATCGATAATGGTGTAGGTGGAGAGGTTGGTAGGGGCACAGAAACATCTGAACGAGTAGGACTAAAGTTGATTGGATTCGAAAAATATGGAGAAGACGGGGTGGAAGAGATACAATAACGCGATTTTTTGTCGGAGGACGGCCTCGACGTCGTTTAGGTACTAATTCAGCACCAGGGACTATTGGTTGGACGCTACCGTATGGATAAGAACTATATGCTAAAGATGTGTCTTTGGTATCATTGACACCTGGTGTTTGACAAATTTTCCGCTTCAATATTGATTTACGTGGTTTCTTCACACTATAACCCCATGGTAAATCATCCGAGTCTTTAGGTCTATTTTTTCTAGGACGTCCTTTCCTAGGCGGAGTTGGCAATGATTCACATAATAAACATTCCCAATTTCCATTAGGAATTCGTCCTAAACCAACACAAAATGCATGATAACCCCTATCACAACGATCGCAAAACATCATTTGATCTTCTTGACCTGAATCATTACATTCCACACACCGTTTACACTCTAAACATGTCCAATCATAGCTAAAAATAAACAAGAAAATACACCGAGCGACATAAATTTATGAATGTCAACAGTATTGCTCTATATATTGTTAAATTAAAAAGAAATAGAAAATTCCTCCTATATATATACGTTCACTCGGCATCTAAAAAAAATTGTGGAACTCAGTATTTTTCTGTTGACCTTGCTTGTAAAAAGTATCAGGCATTTAGAAATACTTTGATGAGATCAATTCACGCATAGTGATAACCAGAGAGGCTCATAGAGATCTGGGCCATCTTTGGTGCTTTCGTGATGTTAGTCTGGCTGTAGAAGGTCGGATCTACAACGCGTCGGTGGGGGCGTTTTCGCACTATGTTTGTGAAACCTGGCCTCTCCAGGTCGAGGATGTTAAACGACTCTGTGTCTGATCACTCGAAGGAGTGCCGACATCCAGTGACAGCACCATGTTAGTAATGCAGAGACTCGGCATCGTGTGTTCGGGCACAACCATAAAAATTCAATCGGTGTCACTATCATAAAACACAGAATTCGGTGGTCTGAACATGTCCTGCGAATGTCGTCCCAGCGAATCCCACATCGCGCATTATTTGCCGACGCTGGAATAGATTGAAGAAAGCGGAGAAGTGATCAGTGCACACGGTGTCGTGGTATGAAAGAAAGCTGTACAGGATTGGCTTCTGCTGGTCCTTCACGACTCCCTGGTTGGGGTCTTAGAGATAGTGCAACACTAGCTAGAGATGTTATCAGACATGTCTCAGAATAAAAGTCAGCGGTGATCCTGCTGCAACATTTTAAGTCATAAAAGTGAATGTAACTTCTTTAACTGAAATAATTCTTTCTAAATGTATCTTTCCTAAATAAACTGCTTCCCCCACTATTATTATTTTTCTATTATTGTTATTATTATTACTTCAAGTAGTTTTGAATCATAAACTTATTTTTTTGCTTTTAAACAGTCATCCTACTATTTCCCGGTTTCCACAAACTCGGCTTTCAACTAGTCAGTCGCAGGTGTTCAAACTCCACACATGAGGAGCTGGATTGTATGACTAACCTATAATTATCATTGTAAAAAACCTTTTTAACATACCAATTAGAAAAACAGTAAACTACAATGTGAATGGAGAAACTAATCAAATTCAAGTATACAACTGTATTAATTCAGGAAAGATTTGAAGTATCTAATTATTGATAAATAGGATTGAATTTTCGTCAGTCGTAGTTGGTATACATGCATCCTAAGCGGATTCCTTGATACAACCCCGTGAATAATGCGTTGGGTGTTCAAAGCAAAAGGTATTGAGTTCGAGTCTCAATTTGAACAACGGGTGAAGGTGCATCCAGCTGATGAGTCTCCAACAGGAAGAAACGCGAGTCCTGGATTCAAATACTAACCACTATCCATCTATTCTCACAACAAAATCAATAATATTTAAACAGAAACTGATGGTGGCTAGCAATGCAATCCAGGATGTGTTTCGTCTTACTCGGGATTCGTCAGCCGAATGTGTCTGCATCCAAGAGTCGATGTTCACTCCAGCACTCCAACCCAGTACCTTTCGCTTCAAACATTATCGCGTTATCCACTTAGCTAATGAGTAAAGATAGCCACTGGCTTGTGAAATCGGATGAGTTGTAATCCTAGTTTATATATATATATATTGGTTGTTCGGATTTTTCCATTGATATTTAAAACTGCAACTGATCAATCCAGGTGTAGCTAAGGGTGGGGAGAGTCAGCCACCCCTCTCTCCCCAAATGCTCTTACATGGCCACAGGCACACAATCATTACCAAGGAAGTCCTACTCACTGCCTTCGCGCACCACGAGCGTTGTTTACCAAATTGAGAGGACCAAAAACGAATGTCCAGTGCTTTAACTGGGTTGGTGGACATGGAGAGTTCACCTAGGGGAGTTGGAAAACACTGATTCTAAATCAATGGTGCATATGGGCTGACTCTAGGATCCTCAAGGAACAAATAGAGTATGAACCAATCGTTGGTTACCGGTCAACATGGAACTGCATCTCCTTACCTTGTTCCACTGCCTTATGGATCAGACGTTTAGGTCGAAGGCTCCGAGTGTGGCCCCATAAGAAAACTACCTAAATCGGTTTGGGCACCCGGGTAATATAACAGTCCACACACCAATCAAGTGACTTGTGTGACGCATATATAATCGGTGCCTCTTTGTATTAATATTTATGTTTTCAAATAAATATAAAAAACTTTCCGTGTGTACGTCAACTCTAGGTTGCAGGTACATTTAGCTGATGAATCCCAAATAGACACCATCTATCTCTGTTCATAACACTGGTGACCTAAGGTAATATTGCGGTAATCCGCACGGGATGTACATGTGCTAATAAAAGGCTGATCAATCGCTGTCCTAAATATCAATAAGAAGATTCAAACAACCAATATATATGAGTTAATAATAATAATAAATTTTGTTTTACCTTTTCACACCTGATAGCATAGAATCAGGTATATCCAAACATTTTGGATGACCAATTAATTTACACTCAGAACAACGTATATAATTCATAGCTAATTGGCCACATACAACACAAATAGGATTTTCTGTATTTATTTCTGTATTTGTTTTATATCGTCGATATATCGAATTACTGATTTTATCCGTTTCTACATCAGAAACCGATGATTTATCACCAACTAACATGTTTGAACTGAAGAAAGGAAGTGATAAGCAAATAATCCCCATAGAACATTTAAAAAACAGAAAATATTAAGGAGAATAGTTATTTTTATCATAAGGTTCTACAATGATGAGTCCATAGTTATTGTGTTGTTAGAAATTCATGATGATGCAGACACATCCACTCTTTATTTTTCACTTGTTTTGAATTCCAGTATTCCTTTATACCCTTTGATTTAGTTTTTTTCAAATCCCAATCTCAATGCTTGGTCTTATTCATTGTCATTGCTAAAACATTATTTCGAACTTATTTGCTCTAAATGTTGTCCTACACTGGTACATCAACTTGAGTTGACATACGTATGTGCCAGGCTCTATGTTAATGATGACTGAATGAATGTATTATAATGGCCAAACTAAGGAAAACACAAGTGAATTATCTTATGTTAAACGTTAAAGATATAAAATCGTCTAATTCACTAATGTATGGCTTATTTTGAACATTGTAATACGATAATCAATGACCCATAACTTTAGAGCATGATAATGAAATTAATGAAAACAACTTTTCGTTTTGATTTACTTCGTTTTCGAATTTCGATAATTTAGAGCAATTAGTCCCTTTAATAAATCGTGATGGAATAATAAGAACAAATATTTGGCTTTCAAAATGTGACGTGTTTGTGCTACACGTTTCGAATAATCTGACCATGCCTATACTTTCAAAGCATTTATAAATGAAAACGAATAATGATCAATTAAGCAGGAAGTCGGACAAATATAAAGTGATAAATAAAAATAAAGGAAAGAAAAACATTGATGGACGTGATATGAAAAGAATATGAAGATGTTAAACCAACTTAGGTCGTAAAATGGATTGAAGATAACCAGGAAAAATTCACGCTTAAGATAACGATAAGGGAAGTTTGAACCCCCTAATACGTTAGCCCTTTATAAACCCGAGAATTCACTCTTGACATTTCCTATGCAACATTTTAAGAGCTGTGTTAATCTTGATCATATGGCCTGTTTCCTATTTCCTACGTTTGTTGGAGAATTTGACACTAACTGAATCTGGAGCCATTTGGGTACATGTTCCATAATCCTTGTTCGATCACTCGTCCCCATGCGTATGTCCACAGAAACATGTGGTAAATATAGTGGGAAGTGACGTAATCATGTGACATGTTTAGGCCTCTGTGGAATCATAGGCCTCATTTTTTCAATGATAACCAATTTAGCAGCACAGTGCATATCCTCGATGGGTACTCTTAGTCTCTATTTCAAAATTATGCTGCTCGACTCTTCTCTGAATGATGAAACCTTTTTACGCAACAGAATTAAGAATTGGTTCTGATGTTAACTGACTTTTATACTGATTTGTAAATGTCAATGGGAAACCGTTTAATATCAATGTTTCAGTTAGTATTTTCATGTCTTCTTCGAACGCATCTGTAGTACATATTCGTAATAAGCTAATATTTTTCAACTCCAACTTCAATACAGTGAACGACTCCACGTCTAGTCATATTCTTTCCTCTTTGCTAACTAGAGGGAGAAATCCGATTTGCATAGCAGCCTTCCTGAATGAGACCTCAAAAGAATTAGTTTTTTTATGTAATACAATGACATATATACAGAATATTAACACGAATTAAATATGATAAATGTCATAGTTTATAGGTCACTCAGTCTCTAATCAATTAGGACCTGAACGCTAGGCTTAATTCTTGAGCATTGTATCACTTTACTACTTTAACAATTGATCAATGTCTTAGTGAAAATTTTAAACAGGACGTCCTATGAAAAAAGTCTATACACGTTAAAATTAAAGTAAAATGCAAGTATTCAGCGATACTGTAAATGTTCAGGGTCTTACTTAGCAACACCACTTGATAATAGTGATCCGTTTGCATATCTAGTCCGAAGACCTTCCATTGAGCTTGTGGTTTGATGGTTTAAAGAGTCAATAGATCTAGAATGGTCTAAACCAAATGAATTTTGATCACCGAAATCACAAGAGGTCATAGTAGGTGGATTGACTTTCGGCTTAATCGAACCAAATCGAAGTGTTGTGGGGAGAGGAGGTGGATTTCTATGTTTTCGTAGTGGATGTGGATATAAAACACGCGATAATGGAAGGTATGATAACTGTTCAGGAGTATAGCTCATAAAATATTCTGCAAACTGTCCAGGTATGACTGCCACAGGATATGCACCATTGGGAAAAGTTGGGTATTCTAATAACTTATAAATTCTCTGGGGAATGTGAATTTGCATTGTCTGTAAATCCCAATAACAACGTCTTGAACTCATACGTTCGGTAATCAAGCGATGATTGTAATCGGCAGCAGAATCTAACGCTCGTCTGCGAGCTGCTTCAGCTCGAGCCTCTCCACGTTCAATACGAGCAGCCTATGTAAAGAATTAACACCGTAAACATAGGTTCAACCCAAACCTTAGAATTTAAAGTCATTCCAGAAAAGATTATGATACAAGGAATCTAAGTAACTAAAGGATGATAGTTCTCATGCCAGGGACACTATTCTTTAAACCCTTATATCTTAGTAACCTTAGATTGATGTGTACATTTTTCTGCCTTCCAAATGACAGAAAACTAATAAACATACAAGGTTCAATGAGTCGAAAATTGGCTTCATCTTATTATTTGATATGCATAATATCATTCAGTTACAAATGTCGAACTACAACCACCATGTAGATGATTTCCATTTAATCTATCCACTTAAACCTTGAAAACCAGGTATGACTACTAATAATCACACAAAACGTGTGACCTAAAATCTCATAACCTAATTATAACCAAAATTTGACAGCTCTCTGGAAAAATAAATCAAACGGAATCTGATGAAAGGTGTGGTAAACACAGTCACTTCCCTCGGAATTCCTGAAAATATGTGTAATCATTCGTATCTAAATACAATCCATTTTATTTAGCCTAACAGAATCATTTGATTTTATAGACCACGATTTTCTAAGCAATACATAACACCAAACAAAGTATCATGTATGCACATTCCATCAACCAAGGATTCCCTCTTCATCTTAAAGAATTCGCTGATACCTTAGTGTGCTTTCATTAGATACAGTGAACAAAATTCATTAGGAGTGCCCGCGGATAACTACTTCAACCAAATTTGCCTAAAAAAATCACAGCTGGGTGTTGTATTAGTTAGAAATTGTAAAGTAGAAGCTGTTTGGTCAAGAAAATGATTTCTACTATTCAAACTCACTTCATACTGACGCTTTTGATTCTCGACAGCCATTTTAAATTTTCGTCGACGAAACAAATCCGTGAGAGCAATGTGTATCTCTGGGTAATCCTGTTGCAAAAGCTTCATAACATCATCAGTTTTGAGTGCTGTGAGACCAAGGTCTGCACGACCAACGGGAACAATCCCCTCTTGTTGCAACCACGATCGTTCATAAGCATCCATAGCGCGCCTAGCTAGATCAGGGTACTTGCGTTTAAAAGATTTAACCTAATAAAAAGGGGAAAACGTTAATCAATAGAACTGCTTGAAAACCTGATAGAAACAAAATTAGGAATAAAATCCATTACAAAATACATACAAAGGTTCTTAATAAAACGTAATATGAAAAAAAACCACAAATTTATCCAAACATTTTACCTATGAAAAACCGTTCAAACACTGAATCATACTATTGCTGAGATACTTTGGTTACTGTAGTTAACCATGACTTAACGTTCATCCATTCATACGAATAAAGAGACTTAAATAAATATGGATTAGCTGCAGCTACACGTTACAAAACAAACGGTAATTCAAAATATCTAGTAAACAATATAATTGCCATAAACAAAATGTTATACTGCAATCAATCAAAACGGTAGAAATTTACAGATAATGGAGTTTTCATCATCAAAAACTTAACTTGTATCATAAAAACCATTTGTTTCACTTACATAGATATATTTCTACAGTTTTAAACAAAAACTTATCATAACTTTTATGTCCTCTAATGTAAAAAGTGTAGAAAATGTAGAAGTTAATATGGAATTTAGATTACACAACGATGACTAGTGTTCAGAGAGAATGCTTCTTGAAATATTGTGCTGATTATTATTTTATTTATTCTAATAACTGATTGTTTCTTACTAAGTATGCCTTCCTACCTTATCCCTTTTTTGTGTCCTATTGCAGATATCTTTCGACCTTTGAATGATTAATTTACTGCAATGCTATTCCACAACGCACTGAAAAGAGCGGAAGCTATGTTGATCTATTCTTCCCCAAATTCCAGCAAAATTTGAAGAGATCTTTAGGCTCATATTTCAGCCGAAGTTACTACAATATACATCGAGAAACGAGAACCCAATAACAGAAAGATATAGAACTAAAGATGATAGAACGTCAGTCATAAATAACTAAAGGATTATTTCTGTGATAAACGAACATACCCCTGACACCTAAAATAAACATTTGCGACTAATAAAAATATTACAGTATTAATACCCTGAATTCTAGAACGAAAAAAGCGACAGTAAGTACGAGATAAAACCAACCTTTAAAAAGTCAGCAAGAACTTCTTGAACTATGTATGACTCCTTTTCATGTTTTCCACCAGGTGATTCAGAATCACTATCAGCCCAGTCGTACTCATAAATGTCCTCCAAGTTAACATTATCAGTAAGTCCTGAGATGGAAGTAGAACGAGACATATCTGACTTCATTTTACTTTCACGTCTCGAAGGAGTCGCGGAAAGAGAATTACTGGACTGATTCGTCTAAATACAATCTATTAAAATATTATGAGAGCATTACCCGAGTCTTTTGTGTGTCCGAGTCACCATCATCATTCTTTAGGGGTGTATCAGGCAAAGTATCCACGCTCATGTCCAGATCAAACATTACGGTCTCATCGTCAATCTGATCTTTAAATGGAGCGTGATTACTTTCTGTACAAATTGGAAATGTCATTGAATTTGCTTGTTGAAAAAGAGACCAAGTTTCAGTTGCGATTCGTCCAAAAACTAAACCTCGCTCGATTGGTATAACTACCCGGAACACTTTCTATGGAATTTCGGAGATAATATACGTAAAATAATTTGAGTTTCACAATAAAAGAGAAATGGAGACAAGTGGAGCTTAAAGTAGCTGACTAGAAAGGAAAAATACCAACCTGATTTCCCGGCAGGGATCAAACAATAAGCCTGTTAGAAATCACGTTGTACTGAAATCACCTAACAAAGCTATTTGCATTGGCTTAAGCTAATGAGTAAATGTCTGGAATGTTAAAATAAATAAATGAAAGAGCCGTCAGATAGTACTGAATTGTGTAGCATGTCTATGAGTTGTCTTGTAAATAACTTGAATTTGTACATAGTATACATTTTTAATGTAACTTTTATTTAAGTAACACGAAAGATATTCTGACAACTAAATGGTAACACCCATTTGAAAAAGTATTTAGATAATAACATAGCGACCCCCTGCACCAAACCAACAATGGGCTCAAATAGACCATATTGCCATCAGTCATCAATGGAGATGCTCGATAGAAGATTGTCGCTCGTTCTGGAATGCCTGCTTGGACTTCGACCATGCCCTAATACGGGCACGCATCTACTTTCACCTCACTGGTCGAAGAGAAGCCACATTAAAAAGACTCATTAGAATTGAATTGAGTGACGAGAAAGCCGAAAGTAGATTCCAGGAACAACTGAGGTCACACTTAGGTAAAGATATACAAACACCTGTGGAAACAGCAGGGACAGCTATTAGTGATTTAAACCAAAGGGTTACAAAAAACCAATGGATTCCTTTAAGGTCTATTGCACTGATGGGTTCTCGTAAACTCATCCAATCAGGCTCTGAACACGATGATGAGCGAAAGCGAATCAGATATAGGTTAACCAAAAGTCTAAGGAACGACCGTGAGCAGTGATGGGCAACGAAAGCAAAAGAGATGGAAAAGACGGTGGCTATAGGTAACACAAGACAGCTCTTCAGACTCATAAAAGAAACTGGAATTAAACATCAAGTGTAAGTGAAAATATCTCGGGAAGGGACGACACTTATCTGCTCCCAGCCCAGACGGTTAGAACGATGGGCGGAACACCTTAGAGAACAGTTCATCTGGCCTTCAGATACTCTACAATTGCTCAACATTCCCAGGCAGCGTGAATGGAACATTGAAGTAGGTCCCCCGACTCTAGCTGAAGTTCGTAAGGCTATAGCTAATCTGAAACGAGGAAGAGCAGCTGGTCCAGATAGATCGGCTCCAGAGGTCTTCAAGGATAGTGGTCCAATTTTAGCGATTAGGTTGACTAATATTTTAGCTAAGATCTGGGAGTTAGACGTTATCCCATCTGACTAGTCGCAATCACTTATTGTCCCAAAATCATCTTGTGACAATCATAGAGGGACTAGTTTGACTAACATAGCATCTAAAATACTAGCCTCAATAATTATTGTGCACATAACAATGACGTGTGAACTGCAAACACGAGAAAATCAGGTTGACTTCACACCTGGTCGTGGCTGCATCGACCACATATTCACCATTCGTCAGGTTCTAGAACACAGGCATACTTATCGGCGTCCGACAATGGTGGTCTTTCTTGACTTCAAGGCAGCATTTGACTCTGTAGACTGGGAGGTTCTGTGGCAGTGTCCGTCATTGAAAGGCGTACCTCAGAAGTACATAAACCTTGTGAAGGCTCTTTACTCGAACACTACTAGTCGAGTCAGAGCTTATGACGAACTGTCATCTGCTTTTGCAACCTCGAGTGGTGTTCGTCAAGGCTGTCCACATTCTCCATTTTTGTTTAACTTCATCATAGACATACTGATGGATCACCGGGTAAGTAATAGTGAGGTTAAACTCAGGGTAAATCACTTGATGAGGTTGTGAACCTTCACCGACTGAGATGGAGCCCCCAAATACCCTGGTACGCCCGAGAGTGGTGAGAGTCAGCACTCCCTCTCTCTCTCCAAATGCTCTCACATGGCCACATACATACAATCATTACCAAGGAAGTCCTACTCACTGCCTTCGCGCACCACGAGTGTTGTTTACCAAATTGAGAGGACCAAAAACGAATGTCCAGTGATTTAACCGGGTTGTTGGACATGGAGATTTCACCTAGGGAGTTGGAAAACACTGATTCCAAACCAATGGTGCACATGGGCTGGCTCCAGGGTCCTGAGGGAACGAATGCCGTATGCACCTATTGATGGTCACCATGTACCATGAGACTGCATCTCCTAACGCTGCCCAACTGCCTTTTGGGCTAAACCTCTGGGTCGGAGGCTTGGGGAGTGGCCCTCATAAGAAAACCCTAACTCTAATTTTTAACCCTAACTTACAATTTTAAGTCCCAATTATAATTCCAAACACTAATTTATAAACCTCTTTAGACGCTAGCTAGTAGGTGAAGTATTTTAAGTTCACCTTCACATTGCTCAAAGACTGTCCACAAATCAAATTTCCACATTAATCTTCATTTTGCGTTGAACTATGTAACCCATCCAGTGTTAACACTGAATGAGCGAACTCCCCTCATCCCCCATTGCATAATGAAAAATGTCAATTTCCATCCCATTTTTGTTAAGGTCAAGACTAAAAAGGCCGATTCTAGAACTAATTGTACGTAGTTTTACCACTATATAAGGACCTTTTGGAAAACACATTTGAGGTTTCCATGATATGTCCTGAAAATTTACTCAAAGTTGAGGAACTCATCGCACGAAGCAACGAATTATCCGAAACACTTAACACTTCATACAACAGACAAATCATAACCGCAAGTCAAATGATGAGCTTTCGAGACGCAAAAGACACCATAAGTGGGGGAAAATACTACAGGTGTGCATGCTATCTAAATATTAGTCACAAAAGTGAATATAAAGAAACCTGACGATAAAACACGGACAGTTGACAGTGTATAAAATATTTTGGAATTCTCACATATCAAAGATCAGGAAGTTGATTGAGAATAATTATAATGAACGCTTGATGACCATTAAAAACAAACTTGCAAACGCAACGTACAGTTTGAAAAATACGCTCTCGCAATAATTTGTTTCAGTCTTCAGTTTTCAGTATTAAGGGTAGTAGGTTGGTGAACCTGTGTTAATCCTGACAAATTTGTTTCCAGTGAAGGTCCAGATGCTCCTTGAAAATATTCACTGATGTGGCTGATACCACTTTTTTGGGTAAGGCGATCTAGACATTGACTACTCGATTGGAACAACGCTACCCCACTTTAAATTTATTAGATCGCGATTTGTGGACCTACTTGCTATGACCTCAGAGATTATTAATGATGGAGGGAGCAAAAATATGAGAGATATTGATACCTAAATCACAACTAAAGCTACAAAATTCCAGTAGAAATTCACCCCGCATCCTACGATACGACAAGAGGAAAAGGTTTAGGCATATTAAGCGCTCATCGTAAGACAGTTTAGAAAGACCCTTAACTAATTTTGTTTCCACACGCTGAACACGCTCAAGTGAGTTAGTATCATTTATCAGACGATGACGCACAACAACCTTTGACAGCAGCTGTGTTGCAACACGTAGTTGTTTTCAAGTCATGACTTATTATTACTCCTAAGTCTTCATATTCTTGAATGCATGGAAGGAATGTGTAACAGTTAAGGTTGATTGGTTAAGAGTTGACCTCAAACAACTAAGCATATGTCAAAATAGTAGAGTTCAAGCATTCATTCACTTCTTTAGTTCGCAAAGGCCTTATATTTCCTATTATCTTATATTGAATGTCGAGAGACTTTGTTTGTCCGAACAGGTAATCTCACGCTCCTCTGTGACTGCGCGAAGATCTTAATAAAGACCTATCACTACTAGTCTGTTTTCCTCTGTCCATAGCACGAGGGTTACCTAAAGACACGAAATTGGTGGCCCATATAGACCATCAATAGTATAATTAAAACTACTACCGTGTTCGATATGCATGAGCACACTCTTCCGAGAATTAACTTCTAAATCCCAACCTCGAGCCCACCTAACCAATCCGTTCAAGTCAGTTTGTAAATCAAAATGAATAGCCTCACTTCTTATTGTTCACCAGATTTTTACATCATCCACAAACAATAATGTCGACGACTTGTAGAATTATGGTCTACTATGATATTAGTAGTGCTCTAATAATAGACCTAATCCTAAATTTGTAGATTTGTCATGATATAACTGCCTAATCTATAAGATCTTACGTGGAAGTCACACCATCGACTACACCAACTCACTGTATCGTATCAATTACCAATACATGATGTAGAACAAGGTTAGGCTAGAGAAAGAACAATATATTTAATATGAATAGAAGATATAAGGTAACATTCCGCAGAGACCACGCCTGCATGGCCGAGCCATGCCACTCGATCAACTCCAGTCCATTCAATTCATTGTACGCGCCTTCTCCATTGTTGGGTATTTCTCCGCGTTAAATGTTGAATATCTATTTTCTGTGTAGTCTCGTGTTCACAGCTTTGTGGATTGTGTGGCTATTGTCCAATGCCACTACACTACTCTCCCACCAGAATCAACGTGATGTTGGTTCGACACCAAACTGGATGGGATCGTCGCGCGCCGGGGTTACCAAGAATAGGTAGAATTCTCCGGATAATGATAAGCTGAAAGATAAATCAAAAAGAAGGCGGCAGCATCTGGTCGGGAAATACATGTAATAATTTTTAAAAAAAATCTGCCTTCATGCTTGACACGCTTAAAATGACAATTTGAGTGAAGATTATTTGAGCTATAAAAAAATGGGATTGCAGTAATAATAATAAAACAATGCGTGTTAATAGCCGTTGGTTAATAACTTGACGTATAGGTAGTAAGTATTTTGTGTTTAGAAATATTAAAGTAATGAATATTGTAGAAATGTTAATATTGGTATTAGTTTTGGTTTAAATTATGAAACCAATTAACAATTATGCCGGTAACCCGTCCATATGTGATTTCCAATTGCATCTGTATTAGTAGGCTAACTGAAAGAACAAAAGTATTACCATGGAAGAGAATTCCAACTAGTGTTCCAGTTAGTTTGATACGGTTTATTTAGTTACGTGTGTAGCGTGGCGTCGAGTTGAGGTTAACTATGAACACCGCTACCAAGAAACACGTGCCAAATAGATCAGAAGGCGTAAGAAGCTCGTTCCAAATGACTCCATAAAATCCCGGAGAAGCCGAATACCAGAAGGCAATTAATGGACCAAGTCGAGTTATATTTGCTGGCGATCTCGTGGCATCGAAAGGATACCGAGATCGTGCCAGGATACAACCTTGGTTACAGAAGGTAACCGAATTCGCGCGAAGTTACAATCGAAGTGTAAGTATAAGAATGGAAGCACAAAATAGCTGTCATTAGCACAGTCAAACAAAAGCACGTTAAAACAAACACTGGTACAGTTGGTTATAATAATAATTGTTTTTATTAAACCAGTCGTGTTCTCGTGATAAACGTGAGTCACTACAGGAGCCCCCCGCTAGAAAGGGTTTACACTTTCGATGAATAGCGGTTTGAATCGTGGGACTGATCGGCTGACGAGCGATTGTAGGACGGAAGAATTGGCGAACAGGAAAGCGATCGTTGATCGTCGAGTTGCCAACGAAGGTCGTTTTCGGAGAACGGTACCAGGAGCGATGTGTTGTACTTATTGCTCGAGTTGGCATGCTACACCAGAGTGGTTTGTATCCAGAATCTGAAGAGGGCGTTCGTAGAGGTGCGCACCAGAAACGCTGCAGACGTAGGACGAAACCACGTTGAGCCAAAAGACCAGAAGCGACCATAACGACCAAGTTCGTGACCAAGCGTGTGCCAAGCATTCGAAACCAATATATCGACTGAGTGCGTTGACAAGAGCATGGGTGATCAGGCCAGCTTTCGCCAAAGTTGACTGAAGTCGACGGAACCAAACGTAGATGATCGAGGGCGTGGGCTCAGGAAACAAAAAGAAAATAAAAAAAAGAAGAGTGTAGCATACGTGTAGTATAGGAATAATCCTACACCGTATCGGTAGTTGACTGTGCGACTATTCGCGGAAGCGTACGGGTAACCGTACTCGGCGACCGGAACGTGAGACGGCAGTCTCGTTCGCGTCGCGTGAGCCTGCAATCTCATCCGAGGTCAGAGGCGGCGTGGTCTGCTGATCTGGACGTGAGACTGTCGTCTCGTCCGTAGACGGTGCAGATGACGCGTGCTGTTGACCGGGACGTGAGAATGAGGTCTCAGATGCATCTAGCGTGGGACCTGAAGAAGATTTAAGGATCCCGCTAGGTTTGATAGGTCTAGCATTGAATCTCAGGTTATCAGATAGGGCACTGTCATCGACGTGTGCTGGTTTGAGACGATCAATGCTGACGATCTCGACGCGGCCGTGTCGATCAACCTTGAAGGTCTTTTCGTGACGAGCGATCACGCGAAAAGGGCCTTCGTAAGGTTGCTGCAAAGGTTTGCGTACCGAATCTAGTCGTACAAAAACATATGAACAGGTAGATAACTCTCGAGGGAGAGCGACCTGTCGATGTTGTATTCGAGTTGACACCGGAGACAGCGTTCGCATAAATGCAGACAGTCGATGGACGTAGTCTGATTTACCGAAATTAGGTCTGCTCCGTGGTGTGAAGAATTCCCCGGGCAGACGCAATGTCGTGCCGAATACCAGTTCAGCGGCGGAACATTGTATATCTGCCTTCAAGCTCGTTGTGATCCCTAAAAGAACGAGCGGTAAGGTTTCGTGCCAGTTGCCGTTTTCGTGTGCTCGTATAGCACTTTTAAGTTGGCAGTGAAACCGTTTACTTAACCATTTGGTGCTGGGTGGTAGACAGATATGCTTATGCGTATGCATTCCGTACCAAGCAGCCGGGTCAGCGAGGAGAATATAGCGTGGAATTCATCGTCACGCGAATAAAAAGTAACAAGGATTCGGTACACGTACATGTGAGTCTATTATAATAATACTATTCTTATCGTTATCCGTCATGTCGTGTATATTATATATTAAAAAATATGAAAATATACGACAGACGTGGATAGATAAATCATAGACTCACCGAATTGGCTTCTTTGGAAGATTTGATCAGAAGTTGAGGCGTGTTCCAAAATACGGGTCACCAATGTAGCGTGGCGTCGCGTCGTGATTGACTATGAACACCGCTACCAAAAAACACGTGCCAAATAGATCAGAAGACGAAGGTTGAACGTACCAAATAAATCCATAAAATCCCGGAGAAGCCGAATACCAGAAGGCAATTAATGGACCAAGTCGAGTTATATTTGCTGGCGATCTCGTGGCATCGAAAGGATACCGAGATCGTGCCAGGATACAACCTTGGTTACAGAAGGTAACCGAATTCGCGCGAAGTTACAATCGAAGTGTAAGTATAAGAATGGAAGCACAAAATAGCTGTCATTAGCACAGTCAAACAAAAGCACGTTAAAACAAACACTGGTACAGCTGGTTATAATAATAACTGTTTTTATTAAACCAGTCGTGTTCTCGTGATAAACGTGAGTCACTACACGTGGAGATTTTCTCAACCTCGTTTTTACTTGACCGTGATAGAATTTAATAATACTACTAATACACATGAATGGTTATTAAGAGAAAATTTCAATACATGAGTGATAATTATATGAGTTTTGGACAGATAGCTAAGAACAAATCGTTAAACATGAGTGTATTCGTAAGGGACATGCTCTAGACTCAATGTTCTGAGTTGCCACAGACTATTTATTTGTATTTATACAGGCCGGCTGATGATGCATACAAGTTAGTTGCAAGTAT